GCACAAATTCTTCCAAGATGCTTCTCTGTGATGTTGATATGCACCCTTTTAGTGTAGTATTCGAGTTAAGTAGAAGGTTCTCCCAAGGGGTCCTCCATGAAGAACTCAGTTTCCTCATTGATATGGTCCCTTTCTGGGATCAAAGGCAGTACAAGATTAGAAGAATTTTTCTCACAAATCATGTGGAAAAGGTAGTTGTGAAAGATGTACATGAAGGAGGAGAAAGCTAGATAGAACATTGAAAGAAATTCAAGCAAGAGGCAGTGATTTTCGAAAGAAAAGTGGCAGATAGAGAATTCAAGAAAAGATCTAAATTCCTTACGGAAGATCTTTGAGAAAGAAAGATGAATCTTTAATAGATTAATTGAAAAGGAGCAACCCAGCCATAGTACTCCAAAATTGCTTTCAATATTTTTCAAAGTAAAGGTTGCAAAGGCCAGAGGCCTCGATAATTTTCAAGGCTAAGTGAGTTCTTGAACCAGAGCTTTGGAGGATTTAAATAGACTGGGGAATGACAGTTTCCCTAATTTAAACTCATAGGATGTTCACATGTAGTCTATTTCCCAAAATTTGAAGAAGTAACGGACAAAAAATAATGGGAAGCACAATCCACGATCCAGCTACATAGGGTAAACCTGATTAGGGACACCTAATGTGGGAAAAAAATTAATTGCATCCTTGGGAAAGCTCTAGAGACGCTCCAACACCTAACAAGTTATTGTTAGAGGATTTACCAAGATCTAGGAGCACAAGAAAAGCTTGGAGAAATTCCAATCCTAGTAATCAGATCTCCCCCACCTAGCTGGCATATGAGAGAAAGCCTGAAGATAAGGTTATTCACTATTTAAACATTGGAAAGCCTCCTTAGCCAGAATAGCAGCTCACGCCTAAAGGGGAAAGAGCTAAGACCCCTTGTTTTAGAGGAGTCTCAACTTCCTAATCACCTTATCAGATACTCAAAAGACTACCCAACAAGAAGGAGTCTTACCTGCCTACTGTAATGATCAGAAGAAAATATTCACATCACGAGAGGAGTCTAAACTAAAAGAAAGGAGTCTTAAAGCGATAAGGAACTCCAAACTCCTCAAGCAGTAGGAGTTTGAACTTCTCAAAATAATGAGGGACTAGAAACCAACCCCCAACAATCACCTATAAAGGGGATCATGGGGGAAAGACCAGAGGTATGCAATTCCAACCCTACACATATTTTAAGAACTTTTCTAAAAAATACTAATTTAAGCATCGGAGGGTCCACCCCTAGAGCTCCCCCCCCCCCCTAGTCTTTGACTTCTTTTTAGGTCTCTCAACTTGCAGAAATCTCATTAGGGTCCCTAGAGAGTGCCCATCCATCAAAAAACTAATCAAATTAGCCGAAAAGGTGACAAGGAGTAGGACAATCGCTTTACCAGCTTGCATAAACGTTGGGGCAAATTTTGCAACAACAACTGCAATTCCAATACAAGTTGGGTGGAGGAAGGCAAACAGATCTATAGATAATAAGAGATAGGCAACAAATGAGAATGAATTCAAGCCGAGCACAAGTAGAGCTATTTGCAAAATACCTTAATGAACCAAGGTTGTGGTTCTTCCACCGAAGAAAGGAAAGTCTATAAAAATGAAATTGAAAGGCGTGGCTCCAACCTATATACTCTAGCTTGAATAGTTTTAGGGCGAAAAGAAAGAGAAGGAGATAAGGATTATCAAGAGAGAGATAAGAGGCATATGAGGACTCTTGAAGGCTCTTTAGACGTGATGGACACTAGAGACAATAGGCGTTTAAATACCAGCCCCATAATGGTTATTTGGGGATTAAATTTGCACGCTTCACATTCCCACTTCCCAAGGCACTAACGGGCAACTGCATTAAATAAAGGGCATGTACCAGTCATGTTGAACTAAACTAGGGTCAACTAATGGTGAAAATTTGAGTATGTGCTTGGCAGCTCGAAGGAGCACTAGCTCGCCAGCACTCTAGCCTACCAAAGCTCTCCTTTGATCAATTCAACTCAACCTAAGACTCCCACTTGAACAAGAAGTCCATTCCTACTCAAACACTAATAACCCGGGATCCACCCCAAATCAAATAGGGGAATAAAAATGTTTCAACGGTAACATGAATACCTATAAGAGAGAGGACTAAGGATCAAATAGGTAAGCAATCCAAGCTCAACTTAAAATTATACTTTCTTATTCCCTTTTTTGACATAAGTATCGGAGGGTCAACCCCCAGAACCCCTCCGATCTTTGACTTGCATTCTCAGGTGTTCTCCTTGGTCGGTTGGAAGGCCAACTTGCTCAATTAATAGCTCAGGCAACCCAAGGATATTCTTTGGCATCATCAGTATCAATGAAAAGCAAAAATCATTAAGAAAAAAATATAAATTTTTGGTTTCCATCCATATCCAAGAGGTGAATTCCTTTTTTAATGAGGTGAAATTGGGCAAAAAAATAATAAAAAGAAAAATTTGGAAAATAGACCTATAAAAACCTTGGTTGTGGCATATAAGGTATAGAAAGTATCTAAAATAGAACAAAGCAAGTCTAGTGGCTAAGCAGATGGACCGTCAATAGGCTTCCTCGTTGGTCAGTCTTGAAAAGCCTTAAATGGATCATAATCGAGTTTTATTATATTATTTCAATTAAATATCCACTGCTGTAAAATAATAAATTGGGGGTACCCAATTGGAATTTGAGATATAAAAATGTAATTTTTCTGTTTTTAAATAAAGAATTATGTTTATCTTACCATTATTCGAGTGAAGAATCATCTATGAAACTAGAAATATATTTTTTTGGGTAGAAGTTTTCCCTTTTTTGTCAAGAATTTGGTATAAAGCTCCTCCTACCAATAGTTAATTTGGTCTTCGACTTTTTAAGATACAAAAAGCAATTAGACCCAAAATTCTAATTTTCAATTTGTTAGATCACATTTTGTAATTGGCTAACTTCATGGAGTCCATTGTAAATCTCACCATTTTCCATAGTAAAGATGTTATCAAGTTGAAGATTTGAAAGCATCATTGAATAGAGGAGATGAAGCGTTGAAGCAACGTCATTCAATATTTGTATGCACCTTCATGTTTTGGACAAAGGTAATGCCCTAGATAACTAAGATGAACCCTTAGTTACTTTTAACTTAGGATGATTAGGATGAAAATTGAATTGAAAGCAATCTATGTATGGCTCCTAGGCGATTCCAAAAGAAAAGATTTTCTAAACCATTTGGCATTTTGAAAACATAGATTGAGCCATTATTGAACCCCTCTTAAGCAACATCCTTTAGTGCTCAAGAGGACTAGTTTTTGCTTAGTTTTGTGCTTCAAAACAGGTAGGGACCGAGCTATGCCAACCATCTTTGGTTAGATCGATCTCTTGATGGGAACTAGAAGGGAAAAAGCCATGAGGGAACAACACAGAGCTCAATTTATCTTTCAAGGTCGGTCGAGTGGTGCTCATGGTCACTAGAGCGGTGCTACTCCTGGACATGATAGAAACGTGATTTTCATTCCAGTGTCGACCGCACTATGATCGCCCTCCCACAAATTAAGCGGTCGTTTAGGAATTTGAGTTTTCTTATTTACTAAAATTACCCTTATTCCTAACCTATAAATAGAGAAAGCCTTTCCCACGGCTAGGTTAAGCCTCTTATGAGATTTCTAAGAGAGAAAATACTCTTTCTACCTTAAAGCATCAATATCTCCACCTGTATAATCATGAGAGAAGATTTATATCGGGTTCTCACGTGCATTCTCTAGCCCCAAATTAAGGCACATGGATTTCCCAGGATGTAGGCCAAGCCCAATAGACCTGATGGGCTACAAGACTATTGGGTCAAGCTGTAAGCCTATTGAAGATCTTATTGGCAATACATCAAAACTACTTAGCCAACAAGAGTGACAATCCTACTTGTGCTTCAGTAGTTCAAATAATCTATATAATAAAGTACAAAAGATTTTGAATTTTCAACTTATATCGTGCTTTTCATGACTCAAATCATTTTCATATTGTTGATCTAACGATTTTACTTGCTCTCCAAAAAGAAAATTCCAACCCATATTTTGAGTAAGAATTTCATTCCATATACAACTTTAGCATTCCCATCTCTTACACAACTCTATCTCTCACTCTCACAGTCCCTCCAATCTCTCACACTCTCTCATATACCTCTGTGATACGACTATCTCTCTCTCTCTCTCTCTCTCTCAAGCTCTTCACGCCACAGCCATCACCACCACCACATGACCTCCAGGTATTTTTTTTCATCCTCCTCTCTACTTCCCACACACACAACAAAAACACGCACACACATAGAACACATCCTAACATGCACATAAATATGCATGCACACAACAAAAACACATACATAGAAAAACACGCACACACATAGAACACACCCTAACACGCACATAAATATGCACACACACACACACAATAACCATTTTCTCCCATTTTTCTCTCCAGAATATCGTGTCTCCCCTTCTCTCTCTCTCTCTCTCTCTCTCTGCCTCCCTCCCTCTCTCTCTTTCTCATCACAGCACCAACGAAGCACCAATAGCAAGTACCTTTGTTTCATCCCCACCATCTCTCTATCTATCCACTCCCCTAACTCTTTTTCTCTAGAACCCCTTCACCCCTACCTTGTGCCACCCTATACCTCCACTCACAACCTTCTACCATGTCCCTCTACGTCCTCAAATCTCACCCCTTCTCTCTCACAAAAACCTCTACTCTTTCTCACTCTCTCCCCTTATTTTCATCTTATACATAAACAACCACCGCCCTATAGCCCCACTCCAGCCACTAACCTTACCCATCATCACCACTCCCAATGTTTCCCATAGCCACTGCCCCATTACTGATTGAATGTTCTATACACTATCTTTGTTTCTTCTTTTTTTTTGACACAAATTCATATGTATTTCAACTGTTTTACAAAATTTCTTTAAGAGCCAATTCATTAAAATGCACGTTGAGGAATCTTAGAGAAAGAGAGAACTTACAGAGAGAAAAAGGCGAAGAGGGATAACTTCTTGGTTAGCTTCGTGGTGCTTGAGTTTGCCGATGATGCTGAAGGTTTTGGGGCCAATGATGGAACCAAATCCAACACATTACAAGACCACTCCACAAATGAAGTGCCAGAGGCCCCAACCACAACCACCATCCATGCCTCCACTAAACCCACCTCTCCTCTAATTACCACCATTATCCCACCTTACATATATATATATATATTTTGTTGCTAAAGTTTCAGTCTAGTTATAGTTGTAGTCTTTATTTTTTGTTTTGAATCATAGAAATAGATATTGAAGTATATTTCATTAGAAGGTTTTCAGTTCTTTGGAGATACTCTTAGTGTCTTTTGCATTTCAATACATTATGATGTATTTCATTTAGTATAATAATCCCTGAAAAATTTGTGGCTGATTCGTTTGGTTTTGTTTGGGTTTTAGGGCTTGGAACTGGCTGGGAATTTTATTGGGTTTTAGGACTTTGAACTTTATGTGAATGCTGCAAGGGACAACAAAAAGAAAAAGATGATTGCAAGACATAATTAGTGATGAACGTTGAGGAGTTTAACAAGCTATTAGGGTCAGTAACCATTTCGAATGAAGATTTTAGCAAGCTATTGGGTAAACATGTTGCTCCAATTTTTGACTTGTAGCAACTCAAGAATGAAAATCTACCTTGCTTTTCAACCTTGATTTTAGATTGATTTTTTTTCACAGGTTTGTGTAATGTGTTTTTTTTTCTTTTTTGTAAAGCTAATGACTTTGATGGTTTTTGAATTTTCTTTGAAATATAGTTTTGAAATATTGCATATATGAATGTAATATGTTCTAATCAATGTTATTACTATAAGATGTAGACGACCACCATTCCCTTATCCATCTCTCTGTTCTCGGCTACTACGCTTTGTCCAATGCGTTCTTTTTTTGATTTAATTTTGCAGGTTGTCTCTAATATATTTTTTATGAAATATTCCGCATGCACAAGTGGTCCACAATATTGAAAAAAAAAATGCTTCTACATTATTTGGATATCATATAAGTTGTCACTAATACTCTATTCAAGCAATGGATTAGTTATAATTGACAACGAACTACGTATCATTGGGTGCACTGCAATATTGGTTTCTCAAACGTAAAGTAGAAAACATAACTTGAAGCGTTATGTTCTGATATGCTTTTATTACTAAATGTAATCTTTTGCCGGATAAATTTACGTTATGGTCTGCATTTAATCAATAATTTAACTAGATAGTTATCATTTGGTGTTACACAACATTTGGAAAATAGTTGTATTAAAAAAGAACAGTGGCTTGATGTTTGAGTCATGTTTCTTTACATAGAGGTTTATACCTATTACTAATTTGATTACATAAATTGTTTAAATAGGTTGATATTATTTAGGTGTCATATTTTTGGAGAGAACACTGTCAATTTTTTTAAACAAATAGTGAGTCCATGTTGATTGCCGATTTTTTTTTCTCCATATTATACAATGCCCCCTTTTTTTTTGGCTCTTAAAAAAAAAAAAACAGAGAGTATAAACAAATGAGAGCGTCCAGAGATCACTCTGATAGACCCTTGTGATTTTTTGTTTGTTACGTAATACTTTAAGACACGGATAATTATCAGATGTCGATCGTTTTGGCTAGAAGAAATACTTGCACAATTTCAAATCCTAAATCATTGTGAAGCTCACAAGCAATAAACAATTTCCTTGACGTAAATTTTCTTTTGCAATATGTGCGTGTGTGTCAGCTACATCTCTCTCTCTCTCATTTTGTTTGTATCGTTTGTCAATTTTGCCCTAGTCCAAATATTCATGGACTCAGATGCATGTCGGTTTTCTATGCATGGGCCCCACTTGGTCCTCTTACAAGGAGACGATGGACGCTCACCTTCACAATGAGTGTCAAGACCGACCCCCCCCCCCCCCCCCCCCCGAACCCCTCTTTCTCTCTCTCACACACACAACCCCCACCGATATTTCTACTCTAACCTCCACCGCTACCACAAAACATTGCTAAATCAACCCATCTCTCCTCTTTCCACCCTGTATCTTTCATCTCTCTCTCTCTCTCATATATATATATATATATATTCTCACCCGGAGCCCTAGAAAGTATAAATCCCACATTACTTAGCCACTTTCTTTGCTTTCTAGGTTCTCACTAGTCAACTTTCTTCCCAACCTCTCACTAAAGTCCATAACAAACGTTGTTTGTTTAATACCTGTTGGATGATTCTTGAACTCCTTTTTGTATGGCTAGGAATGGCATTATCACTTGTAAAATGACCTTCACCTCATTCTCTCCCTATATGGCCCTCCTCTTCTTTCTTCTTATCGTAATGGCCGATGACCAACAGCACAGCTTTCCAGAAGTCACCTCAAGAGTTGAAGCTACAAACGAAAACACTTCCCAATCGACCAACAAGATCCAAATTCCTCACTTAGGCCGAAAGGTCGGGCCACACCGGGTTCATCGGTCATCATCTTCGCCGTGGAGGAGGGAAAGAATATTCAAGGCAGGTGCTCATGAAGTTCCTAGTGGTCCAAATCCCATTTCAAATAGGTAAGCAAGCAAAAGCAAAGCTCCAGAAACAACCCATCTGCTTCATGTTTGTAATTTGTGTGTTTCTACAACCTTTATACAGTTAGTTAGACCCCTTATTAGTCACGTCAACATTGCAATATGATACTTTTGCTATAATTATTATTGTTGTTATTGTTTTCCAATCATTTGGCTATCTTATTGTATATATGAGACTCGTGCAATGATCCCTATTGGTTTCTATCTTTTTAGAACAGTCATGATTTGGATACCCTCATCATTTCTTAACCATTCTAAGTCCAAACTATCACCCTCCCAACATTATTTGACTGCATCATGCACAAGGAGAGGCCAATCTTGGCTTTCTCCGCACATTATTTAGTTCAAAACAACAAACTAGAAACAAAGTTGTTAAGTAATTACCTTAATTTCATCTACATAAAAGAGCCAAAAATGGTAAAGTAGATATTCAATCCCAATGACAATTATTGGTGTCAGTGGAAATGGAAAAATAAAACTTGATCTGGGCAAATCCTTGTAGTCAGATTATTTATTTGGTTGAAAAAATACCGCATAATGTATAAAACCAACTTTCTTTTCAGGGTAAGACTTGAGTTTACTGTGTTTTTGGGTCAAAATACAAACTTTGGAGACTAAGTTATATTAAATGGAGTTAATGTTTATACTAAATTATTATGAGTAATGCTAATTAGACATAATTTATATGTCTAATTTGTTGACTTTATCATTTATAATCATTGAATTGAATGTAAGCATCACTTGTTATGCAAACTCATAATCAATCTAATAATCATGAGGAATTAGGTCAATAAATTTGATATAAATAATATTATTAATTTATTATACCAATCTTAATAATCAATTATTGTAAATTGACTTATAAAAACTGTAAATTTACTCAAAAAAATTCTAAACTTTAATGTGATATTAATAAATAATTTTTCGATTATGTAGTTTCTCTCATCTGTGTTGACTCAACCTGCACAAAGTTTGAGAAGATTACTAGATTCTGATTAGTGGTAAACAGGGAAAATTATCATTAAAAAGCCTCAGTTCCCCTTTTTTGAAAAAAAAATTACAGATTTGGGGGCACCAAAAGCACCAGTGTAGCTAAACAAAGTTGGCCTGAGGAACACAATGATTAATACGCGTATGTGGGGTTTAGACTTTTTATGTGTTTAAGAGGAGAGACTGAATGCAATTATGAAAGTAAAAGAAGGCCAAAATCCATTGTTTTGCGTGTAAAGTCGCATACGGATCCATATATGTGCAACCTGTGGTTAGGTCACATTTTATTTATTCATTGAAACGAAGAAAATTTTAATAAGTTTATCACTTTTCTTTACTTTATTACTTCAACGATCAATATTTATAAATAATTAAATTTAATAATTGAGAATTATATTTTTAAAATTAGACAAAAATATTATATATATTAATTAGAGATATTATGAGATCTATCAAAATTTCACATTATGTACTTGTGAGCAACTTGGATAAGATTTAATAGTTTATTTTATGTTTATCAAATGTATTTTCTAACACTATAAATAAGAATGAATTTGATGTATTCTATGACGACGATGATTAATACATGAGATGTAGCTCTTCTGAGTTTTTAATTACATTTGTATCAAACTTTGTATATCGTTATCTTATTTTTCATTTTATATTTCGAATTTCTAATAACTCCGATTCTAAACTTCTTCAGTAGCATCCAAAGTAAATGAGTAAGCAGGGTCCCTTTCGTGCAGCGGATTTCCCAAGATAACCCATCTTTGTCTCTTTCTTTCAAAAGCTGGATCGCCATTAAAGGGTGCTCTTCGTCCTCATCTGCCTTCACCATCACCACAGTGTTGTAATCCTCTTGTTGTGTACCTTCCGTTGTTTGTTTTTGAGTGGAAGGACTGTGGATTTGTTTTGTTCGGTGTTTTTTGCTGAATGGTTTTCAAATTCAAAGCCTAACTGAATGAATTTTGATTAAAACAGAAGTGCCCAAAGTATTCAAAGTGTCATTTTGATCCTAATATTTTAAATACATCGTATTGGCTCCTAAATTATTATATCATTTTTATCATCCCTTAGGCTGACCACATCTAATTTTTTGATAATTTTTTAGGGTTAATTGCACTAGAGATTTTTAAAATACGAGATTTGTTTTATTTTGATTTTTAATATTTTAATTACAATATTTTGGTTCTTGAAATATTGAATGAATTTTTATGTGATCCCTCAAACAGACAATATCAAAATTGTTAATAATATTTTTCCGTAAAATTATTACGTGATGCATAAATATGGGCAAAAAATAATATGGGAAGTTCGTGACTAAAATTTGGGTAGTTCTTAACTAAAAATATATAATATGGACAGCTCTTGACTAAAATTTAAATAGCTCATGATCAAAACTGTATAATTGGGTAGTTGTTTGACCAAAATTTAGGTAAAAATTTAATCAAGAGTTATTCAAATTATATTTGTACTCATATTTAGGTATTACGTGACAAGTTTATATTCAAAAACTGTTTGCAGTTTGGATGTTGTATACTTGAGGGACCACATAGAAACACATTCAATACTTCAGAAACAAAATAATATAATTGAAATATTATGAACTAAAATTAGACAAATTTCATACTTTATAGGTTTTCGATGTTATTAAACCAATTTTTTATCACGTGTGTCTCACATAGCTAGATGGACCAATCAAACAGGACAAAAAAATGGTCGCCTGTTTCTCTTTTTTTTTCGCGTTTCAAAATGTTGGACTAAGCTCCCCTGCGGTGCTGTGTGTTTCAAGTAGTGGGTGACCATTAATCGGGATTTGGTTCTTAAAGGTTTGTATGTTACAGGTGGTGGGTGACTACGGGCTACCAATTGGTTTGGGCATTAGAGGTAGTTGTCGTGTGTTACAGGTGGTGGTGGTTGCTCTGGGGTCATTGTTGCAGGAGCCTAGGCGCGGCAATCGGGAAAATTGTATATATTTGTACTTATGGGGTGTGTTTGGATAATGAAATTGGATAGGATAAGATTTCTTTTTTTAAATCCTAACCTATCCAAGTCAAACTCACTCATCTATTTTAAAACTCTAACCCAATGTTAAATCCAATCCTAACCTTTGTTTTCCAAACAAATGTATTATTCATTGGACTTCATAGATTACACAAATAATTTTATAGTAGTTTATTATTCTACCTATGGCTCTATCTATTCCAATCCAAATCAATCATATCCTATGTTTGGTTAAGCCATCCAAGCATAATAAAATTATACATTTTTCATATATACATAAAAACATATAAAAAAAATACCAAATATATATATATATATATTTGGTATTTTTCAAACAAATTAACACTTTATTTAATTTCTTAAAAATTGATTACAATGGGAGAAAGACAAACAACCTTGCCTTAAAACAATATGATAAACAACCAAAGATCAAACTGTTCTGAAAAAAAATACAAGAAATGGCTTAAAACCATTTTATACCATATTCTTGCATCTTAGTCTCCTCACAGTTCAGCTCCTGGCCCTTTGATCAATCACTATCTTCCTCAGCCTTGCAGTAGGCATCCCAGCCTGATCCTGTTGTAGAAGCAACCTGCCAGACAATTGCAGAATGCCATTTGTTGAAAAATCAATATCTGCTTCAGTTTGGACAGTAAATGAGGCAAGAAAATCAACAATCACATTGGCCTCTTTGTATATATGCCTCAGCTAATACTGCAATCTGCCAAGCAGCTTCCAGATCTGATCCATAATGCTTTTCAGTCTCCAAGGAACCACTGTCTTCTTCAAAACCATTTGAACTAATGCTTGAGAATCAGATTCAATCAAATACAACCTTGAGCACAAATTAAGAACATGGCAAACGAATGAAAAGGAAACCATTAAATCTTTGGCAGTCTGAACAATAATTTTACTTTGAACTATCCAATGATTGCAAGAAAAATGAGCAATACTGAATTTAACTTATGATGTAGATGCTTAAATACTGAATTTACCACAACCGAAAACATGTATAATCTACATCACATTGCCACACTAAATTGAAATTTTCTAAAATTTTCTACCCCCAAAGCAATCAAAGTCTAGATACCAGTGGCTAGTTGCAGATGCACAAATAGCATAAACAACAAATTATACAGAGATAATAGAGAAGTGGAATCATTTTGATCAATACGCCCATTTGAGTGTTTAGCATAATTTAAACTAAAGAATAAAACAAAGACAATTGAAGTTAAGACAATTGGTAAAACCTAAAGGATGAGCAGCTTATCCCACACACCTGGTTTGGTAAGGGTTAGTGTTAGGGAAATGGGATTGGTAGGTTTGGTAATACGAAGAGCTCTTGTCGCTTTGCTGCATCTCCAAAATTCTTCGCTTGGTTTACGGAGAGAGGGAGCGAGAGAGAGAGAGAGGTGTGGGTTCAGCGTTTTGAGGGCAAAAGAGACGATGAGACAGAGAGAGAGAGAGAGAAGCTTCGTCCATTTTTATAGCTTCGGCCAAAGACGAACAAAGCCAAATCTAGGTGTACCTCAGCGAACCAAATCGGTTTGCGTTCGCTACAGAGAGAGAGAGAGAGACACACACACACACACATACACACACAAAGACAAAGACAGAGAAGAAGAAGCTTACCTCAAATGAGTCGACGATCGCCTGTGATGAACTTCTTCACCAACCAGTGCTTGGAGTTGAGCTACTTGGACAACAGTGAAGGGTCCATCATCAGCAAGGTGTTGGAAAATATCTAAGAAGGAGGGGTAAGCCCGTCTTTTTACCTAGTTAACTTGGTGGGTAGGATTGTAACCCACGAAGGGAGTGGGTTACATTGACCCATGTATCTTGGATTAAAACTACTATAGCAATCGAGCCAAGATTTGATCCGAAATTTATATCCTCCCTAAACTACGCTTATGGGACTTAACCTACCTTAACCCATTACCCAGACACACCCATGATTTATAAAAACCAGAGAAAAATGGGTAAATAGCCTGGGGGTATTAATTTAATTAATTGAACCCTTTTTTTTTTTTTTCCTAACAGATGCCCTTGCATGCACATGCTTGATGTGAACAGCACGTGTTCCACATCCGGTATTGATTTGGACCACATCAACCTAAGGACCTTACAAACACAAATTCAATAACTTTAAGATTAAAATGATGTAATTGAAAAATTAAAATATTTCATGTGCCACATCGCATGGTAATTACTCTCCCTTTCCAACCTCAGTAGTATTTACTCTTGTAAGACCATATCACTACAATGTGAGACTAGTGGCAAATCTTTGAGATAATTGTATTGTAAAAGAATGAATTGTATTAGGTAATATTGGTTAATTTTGTATCAGTAGATAAAATACAAGATTAAATACAGGACAAAAATATTACTTATTGTGATCCAGTATTTGGTAAGACATTGGATTAAGGGTGGGATAATAGAATATTAATTACATATTGGCCAAAACAATACTAATCTAATCTAGTTATTCATGTTTTTGTTTATTTGGTGGGCAAATTAGTAAATTTAAAACTTAATGCAACTGAATTATAATACTAACTTTCCTGGGGCAATGGTATTATAGTTCAATTTAAACTTATTAAGTTATAAATTTATTATTTTACACATCAAATAAATAAAAATATTAATAACTAGACAAAATTAATAATTTTTTGTCAATATGTAGTTAATACTCTATTATCCCACTCTTAATCCAGTGTCGTACTAAACACTGGATTATAATGCGTAATATTTTTGTCTCATACTTAATTTTGTATTTTATTCGCTTATACGTATTACTTAATACAATCCATTCTTTTACAATATATTAACCAAACAATCCAGAGTGTCAACCAAATGCAGCATAAGATTGAATTAGAGAGTTTTAATTCATTATGATTCTATAATTCATCTTCTAATACTGCAACCAAACTACCTAGTGTAATATATGTGTGTTGTCCATGTTAAAATACTAGAACTACATGCAGATGAGAATTCCACATTAGGCCTGCTAGATGGTTCTTGTAACAAGTAACCGGGATATGAATCAAGCTGAAAGAAATAAAATATCAATGCAAAGGCAAGAAATGCAAGAGCCGATAAAAGTCAAATTAAAAATAATTATAATCATTAGATCTAGTGAAAGTAATATCAATTGGTAATAAAGTAAGATAGAATCAAATTAATGCCAATAGGTGATAAAATAATAAGAGAGAATCAACTTAAGTCAATTAACCATGTTTATAAGATTGTACCAATGACAAGGAGTGATGCGATACTTATTATTAGTAGTGCGATAGGCAGGGAGAGATCGAAATAAAATTTTAATAAGATACTAAAATGATTGGTTGTGTTTTGACAGAAATAAATAAGTCTTGATGGAGCACAATATAAACATGATTCATGAAAAGTAGACCACAAAATAATTGACATAAGAACTTTTGAGCTAGAGTTAAAAAAAATACAGCCACACGACATGGTATTATACTTTGAAAGTGGTGGTCCTTTGTTTGGAAATAAAAGGCATTATACATTATATTAATGTTACTTGGGCAATGCAGGGTGTGTACATTTTTTACTGTGATTAAAATATAAGTAGGTAGTTGAAATATAAGTAGTACATTTACTGTGGTTAAAACATATATACACAGATTTACTTAGTAAAAATGTTAAAATAAATATGAAAATTTATAGTGTTTAATGTGTAAGTCTTAAAATAACTTTTATATCTGAATAATTTGGACCCTCGTTGTACTATGATAAGCAAGAAATTGTCTATTTTATTAACTAACAATAATCTCGTACTCGAAGACACTCTATATTATCAAAAGGCTAGCATTGATTATGCAGTACTTATACTTTAAGTAGTATTTTATTTTTTTCTTTAATTACCTAATTTAAAATTAGAGTACACATAGAGAAAATAAGGGAGATGTAGGAAAAAAAGAAGAGAGAGGTATGCGTGGGTTAGTAGGATTGTTTGACATTGAGAAGTATATTGGTTGGTTGTCTGACATTGAGTGTCATATGAAAAAGATGATGTTTTTGGCAAATTTTTTTTTTAGAATAAATTTTGTACTGTTAGATAAAATTTGGATTAATTTTAATAATTATTATACTTTTAAATGTGTATTTCAAATTATTAATTGTAGTGCTAAAAAAATGAACCTTTATAGCACAAGGTAAAATCAAGATTTATGCATCAATCTCGAATAAAAATGGTCCCATTAACTATCCAAGATTTGAAACTCATTGTCAATGCTTTCAAACAAAAAAAATTAAGGATAAATTTCACTGACACTCCTAAATTAAAGTTATATTTCATTGACACTCTTTCTAGTTTTTAAAATATCGTTAAACACTCATGTCAATTTTTGTCGATTAACAAAATTAATGGAGAACATAATTTTACATAATTACCCTTATCAAAACTCCAATTTTAGATGGTGCTATTTGAATTTACACTTATATTTTATTTTTACCCCATGTTATGCCCTAACCTAAATATGGTCACAATTTTATTTGTTATTATCGAAGGAGTTTAAATATCTATTTCACATATTACCATTATTCACATAATTGCATCCAAGTAACAAAAAATTAATATACAATTTCATCAACTCAACATCAAATTGATCTATAATTTTGTAAAATTAATATTTAATTTTATTTCTATAATATTAAATTTTATCAAATTAATATTTAATTTCATCAAATTAGCACTAAATGAACCATCAATTTTATCATATTAACATGAAAATTTTGTCAAATTAATATTCACATTCATCGAATTAGCATTCACATTCAATTTTATTACACTAATACCAAAATTTTATTAAATTCACATTAAACTTCCTCAAATTACTACCATATTAATATTCAATTTAATAAAATTAAAACCAAATTAAATTTTAATTTTATCAATATAAATTAAATTTTATCAAATTAATATCAAATTTCATGAAATTAATTTGAAACTGATCTTAAGTTTTATAAAATTATAATTTTATTTTATCAAATTAATATTCAATCACATCAAATCGATATTCAATTTTATCAAATTATTATTTAATTCATCAATTCAAAATTTAATTTCATCAAATTAGCACCAAATTAACCTTTAATTCTATTATATTTACATTTAATTTCATCCAATTAACATAACAATTAGCATTTCAGTTAACATTCAATTTTGTCAAATAAACGTCATTTTTTAATTTAATTTTGAATTAACATTCAATTTCATCAAAAATCAATACTACATTGTCCTTCAATTTTATAAAATTAACATTCAATGTCAGGAATTGAACATTTAATTTTACTAAATTAACATGATTTATTAAATTCAACACAAAATTAAATTTCAATAGTATCAAATTAACATTCAATTTATACAATTAACATTTAATTTTATGAATTTAACATTTAGTTTTATCAAATTAATATTACTTCTTTAAAAAAAACTCTAAATTAATATTTATTTTATATAATTAATATTTAATTTAATCAAATTAGTATCAAAGTGACATTAGCAAGCGAGGCTAACTTCTTGCTAGTGTCACAGCTTGTTCTATATAATCATGGGTAAAATTGATAACTCAATAGAATAAATTATCACAACACAAACTTTGTTACTTGCCAGTAACGTGATATAAGGCAAGGATAGTTTGTAAAACACGTATATAAACTATAAGAGTGTGCAATGATATTTTAGAAACCAGAGGGAGTATCAGTGAAATTTGACTAATGTTATTGGAGCATTGTAAAATACACCTTGAAAAAGATGGTCGGCATGGCATTACTAAAAGGCTAAAAAAGTTTATCAAAAAATTAGTTTGAATATGCTATGGCAACAATGTTAACATTCCAAATACTTGTTTTTTGGATCTTTATTACTATAGCTATATGAGTTGAAGTACAATTTTGTTTACCATAATCCACATATATAGAATGAGTTGGAAGTACAATTTTGTTTAAAATAATATGATGATGTATAAAATGTGTTTATGCACCACCTGTTAAGAATTTAATGCAGTAATAAATGATAAAAATCAACACGAGCAAAACATAATTTAAGTGATTTGATCAAGGTGACCTACAATACTGTGAAGGGCTAGGATAGCTTGAGTATTTTATTTATTCAAGGAGTGTAGAGTGCTCAAGTTTGAGTGATATGTCAGATACCCCCATGTGTAAGTGAGGCTTACGATTTATAGGCACCTCCTAATAGATTGAAGTGTCTTTTCCGTATCAAGTGAGGTAGTTTAGTGGAGGTGGCACCCTTCTTGTAACAAGTGAGACAATGTTGTGGATGTGGTGGTATGCGCGTCCCAATGAGATCTCTTTGCTTGTCAATTATGAACTGAGTATCTCGCTATGAGACGGCTGAATTGACTCTTTCTCTTAAGATGGCGTGGTTGACCTACCTTCCTCCTTCTTACGGTGGGCCTAACCTGCATTCTTAAACTGGGCCTTGTTTGTGATTCTAGGTCTAGTTTGTAATTTTGGGACTGGTTTGGGTCAAGCCCATCTTTTGCCCCCATACCCCGAGCCCAATGAAATTTAGGGGAGAGGGCATCAACAAGAACTATCATCCTAGTCCTCTTTTAGCAGCTGAACTCCGATAAGGGAAGGTAGACACAGTGAGGCTGTGGTGAAGGAATTGTGGGTTGCTCATGAGAG